TCTCTTGCCCTGGGTTGACTGCTATGGAGTCACAGCTCACAGCAACCTCAAACTCTTAGGCTCAAGAGCTCTTCCTGCCTTAGCCTCCCCAGTAGCCAAGACTACAGGTGCCCACCACTATACCCAACTAGGTTTTAGTAGAGATGGGGTTTCACTCTTGCTCAGGCTGGTCTCATAAACTCGTAAGCTCAAGGGATCCACCCGCCTTGGCCTCCCAGAGTGCTGGGGTTATAGGCGTGAGCCACTATGCCGGGCCAAAAAGCATGTTCTTTTGAAGAGTGAGCAGTGTCACTTACTAAGTTAGCTGGCCAAAATAACACAGAAAAATCTGACCCAGGTCCATGCAAAAGTGGCTTTTTTCTTGCTATTCTGGTTTACAATGAGGGGCAGGACACGACTGTTGAGAATTAACTGTAACATGTTTATTGCTGACCGTTAACGTCTTGTCTAGATTGTGCTTCACTTACTGACTGACTTCTAAACAACCTTATTTCATACTTAATAATGAAGGATTTGTGATTACTTACAATTTCAGACACTGGGATTTGGTACAGTTACATGGCTTTTTAGACTTTGTGTCCCATGAACTAAGAGTTACTCTATAAAGATTAAAAAAGAAAATGTATTCAGATGGTTGCCCTTTAAAAAGAGAATTAACTAAGCAGCTGGTGTTTTTCAACAAATACTCAGAATTTCAACACCAGACAGTTACAGGTATTATTTACAGGGGCCTTATCATGAAATGGGAAGCTGACAGTGTGATGGGGCTGCCTTGCCAGACCCAGCCAGCGCACCAGGGAGTTGGCGGTGGGTGGGGAGCGGGATCCCACTGCCGTTCACACTTTTCAGGAAATCTGCCTGGAGCGTCTTCCCTGACCTGTTTAAACCTGTATTTTGTGTGTCCCTCCCCTTACCAAATAGGTCTTTATTCCCTCTAAAACCTAAACACTAATGGGAAATGTGAGTGAAAGAATGATAAACCATTGTTCACATTTTCCTTAGCACATTTCAGGCTGTACACACTGTAACGTTACTGACAACATCAAAGCACGTTTCAAGGGTGTTGTGTGATCACTGGGGACTGTCCTCCTTGTAGGAGGGGATTATTACCACTCCCTCCTAACTGCATAGGGGATTAGCCCAGAATCATCTCCAGGGACATGAGAGGAGGAGATACAAACTCCTTCTCTAATGTGTCTCTGGATGCTGCTAAGTATGAGGGTGGCTACAGGTTCAACACAGGAGAAGTTCCAGAGAACTTCCCAGAAGTGAGGGAACTACGGGAGCTAAGAATAGGAGTCACGCGAGAAGGGCAACAGGGGAGCCGTGTGCAGAGACACCCCTGGTGATGAGGGCTGTCCCTGGGCACGGAGGACGTGGGTCTGTCTATCTCATTCGCAACATCCTCCTGGAGGTTACATATGCTGGCTTCATCTCTGCCATGCACTGGCTATAGCAAGGACACAACATGCTCTTGGCTTTCCAACAGAAATGAGAGCAGTATTTGGCACAAGAGTGATGCTTACTGACAGTCCTGTGCCACCACATGGAGCACAGGAGTGACTCCGTGCCATTTGGGGTGTAGCTATAATTAATGCAAACATCCTGAAGACAGGTGAGCTCCCTTGCCCTGTCCCTTGTACTCTGTGGCCCATGTGCATACTTGATGGCTAGCTGTCCAGACTGGGGTCAGTCCTGAGCCATCTTAACCCGGCCGCTCCCCTTTCCACCCTGGCATGGACACCACCTGTCGGTGGGCCACTGGTCTTCTGCCGCTGTTCTCACCATCTGTGCATCTGTTTAGGGACCTATCTCTACCCTCTACTGTGAACAGCTCATGGTACCTAGACACATGGACACACTAATTGTTACTTCTTCTGAAATATCTCCCATTTTATAGACAACGATCCCAAACTCTGTCACTGACTGCAGCATTCATTCAGTATTCATCTAGTTTGGGTGTCCCATTAGACAGGAGAGGTGCAGCTTTCTGCCCCTGTGGGTGTCTGCAGGGGGCAGGTCTAGCTATCTCACCCCCTGCCTTCATCTGTGGGCCAGACCCAGGCCTGCTCAGGAGAGGGGCCATAACACCTACCTAACTGCTCTTGCCCTTGGCCACCTCAGACCTGCCCTGAGCTGGGGTCCAGGGTGGCCTGCCGCTCCTTGTCCAAAGGTAGCCAGAACTGATAAATGCTTCAGAAGACACCCCAAATAACTCTTTTAAATTTACACTGCCTGTCCTGGAGGAATCCCCCAAATAACTGGGGACATGAGACACACACAAATGAAAAATCAGAGAACATACAGTATACAATCAACTGGCACAGTTTTACTAATTGTAAATGACACAGAAATTAAGAGACTGGATAGTTCAATACAGATGAAAGAAGTTAAAACAAAATACTTTTGAAAAAGGCAAAACTTGACAGCAGCTTCTAATGTTGTAAAGTTTCATTATTGGTCAAAGGGATGTTTCAGCTAAAATAATAGCATGAATGGCGACACTCCATTAGGAGGGAGCCCGAGAAGTGTGAGGGAGCAGGAGCCAGCTGATTGGAGTGGGATCTAAGTGGAAAAATGCTTCTACAGTTCTAATTATATTGGACTCTTTCTTGGTGCCACTCTAAAAACTCTTCTAATTCTAAAGAGTTATAAGAGTTAGAAGAGGTCTGGACAACTCTGCCTCAGGCAAGCATTATAAATAAATTATACCACAGTGAGATATAACCTAATCTTTAAGAAAAAAATTTCCAGAGAAACAGACTCTCAAATATATATGTATTTTTTTCAGTGAGGTAGGTTGTTTTTTATTTATTTATTTATTTATTTATTTATTTTTGCAGTTTTTGGCCAGGGCCAGGTTTGAACCCGCCACCTCCAGCATATGGGGCCAGCACCCTACACCTTGAGCCACAGGCGCTGCCCCTCAAATATCCTTTATTATGATCTTCATCATGGTACCAAAAACAATAGCATCAACAAGGTCAGAATTCACATTTGTTAACTGACTGGTAATAAGATTATCAAAGCTATACAGAGAGACAGGGCATGAGTTTTTATTATTATAAAAGGATTTTTCTTAATATGATAAGCTAGTTAATAAGTTAGCCAGTTCACCACCCAACTCTAAAGAATGACAATTGGGTCAATTTATGCATTTCAGATCTTGGTCTCAAGGCCCAAGCTGACCTGCTATGTCATCTGCTAGGGGAGAGATGTTTGAATGCTGGGTTGTCAGAGCTTCTTTTCAAGAGGTAAAAGGGGCAGAGTTATGGCTGGGAACTCACACAGAGTGAAATAAGCAGCAAACAGTTCTCTGACTGCCCCCTTCCTGCTACACAACAATACCTTCAGACCATCTGTCCTGTGGATGTTGAGGTAAAAACTACGGGGACATTTCAGTGGAGCAAAATCAAATGAAGTAATTGATTGTATCAAGAAATAGAAACACAAAGCTCATGTTATTTCTGGCACATCATTTATAATAGAAAAATCTTTTTTAACTTGCATAATTACTTCAAAATAAAGAAAAATCTAGTATAGCTTGGGAAGGAGGAGGAAGGAAAGAAGAGGGGGTGAGGAAGGGGGGTGGAGGCGGGAACGTCCTCAGCATGCTCCTGCATGAAAACGCGCACCAGCTGCACTGCAGCAAAGCCTCAGTGGCCCTGCGAGTTTCAGAGCACGCGCTTAAAGTGCTGCAAATGTCAAGAGTCCATGAGTGTCCTGTACACAGTCACGCACACAGCAATGCACCGATGTTACCAGCAGACCCCAGATTACACGAAAGATAAGTGAGCATCTTCAGGATCGTGACATCTCATATCACCCCAGGTAACTGAAGATGCAATGCTACTAGCAGAATCCAGATGCTGTTTAAGTCATTTTTGTTGATGAGATGACCAATTACAGAGACACGAAATGCACCCTCACTGGCCCATCACTCCAGGACGGCGAGGCAGGGAGAATGGCTCCTTCTAGTCTTTAGTCCACCAGAGTAACAGGAAGTCACCAGCTGTGGCACAGCATCGCACACACAGCCAGCTCCAAGAATCACTGCCAGAACTGAAGGAGCAAGTCACGTGAGCAGCCGCCACCTTCAGCCACAACACTGAGGTCAAAGTGCTGATGGAATGTGGTGTCTCCAGAGCCCTACGCAGTAGCTCCCATCACAGCCTCTCATTCTTGCCCCAAATGCTCTCCTCACTCTCACCAAGGTCATCCTAAAGCTCTGTGCCATGGCAGAACTCTGCAGCAGCCTGGAAACCTCTGGAGGTTTCCTGCTATCGTCCAGGCCTCAGAAAGTAGGTCTGCATGAGGTTGCAGGCCAAAAACCTGGCGCAGGCAGGAACAGACTGATGTCCATTACCAGTGACAGGGCTCAATGAACAGGGAGAGTTGCCCAGGCCACCAATAGCACACGAATTATTAACCTGACACGGTTGACAACTTGGTTAGTTTATAATTAGGTCCAACTATAAATACAACTTTAAAATCCAAAGTCCCAGTGCAGCCCATATTCACCTGGAGATGGTGACTACAGATCCATGTGTTAGTACCTGCCACACAGCAGGAGCTGACTTAGCGTGGAAGGCAGAGGCCCGCAGGAGATTCTACAGACCACCACCAATGCTAAGTAGCTGCCACATCATTGCTTATATTGATAACAACAAAAAAGAAACAGACCAGCATAGTTTGAATCAATGAGAAACCAAGCTAGACCTCTAAATGGTACCAAGCCTCTGACACTGACAGGGACAGCAGGTAGCAGAATAGGAACAGACGGAGGAGACTAAGGCTCAGCCTTTCCAATAACAATAAACCAGGCGAGTACAGCGACATTGTTAGTGGCATTGCTTAAAGTAGAAAATAATTTTTTAAAAGTCATGAAGATATGCAGGTAAAGCTTAGTTTATAGCATAGAAGAAAATCACATTTGTATTCCAAAGCCTCTTAAACTCTTACATTAAAATAAGTAGCAATGTATTGCTTTTAATCCTTACCCAGCCAAAGTTATTTTTGGTGGTCCTGGAAGAGCTGATCCCGAGGGGAAAGCAGATCCGTTGACTACAGATGGTAAGGCTCCGTTATCAAGCTGTATAAAGCCAAAGGCAACAATATTTTGAATTAGCAGGGTTTTTGTTTGTTTGTTTGTTTGTTTGAGACAGAGTCTTATTATGTCGCCCTCGGTAGAGTACCATGAAGTCATAGCTCACAGCAACCTCAAACTCTTGGGCTTAAGTGATTCTCTTTCCTCAGCCTCCCAAGTAGCTGGGACTACAGGTGCCCATCACAACGCCCGGCTATTTTTTGTTGCAGTTGTCATTGTTGTTTAGCTGGCCCAGGTCAGGTGTGCTACGGCCCCAAGCCAAATTAGCAGGTGTTTTAAAAGTTCTGCCCACCAGCTGTTGGGTACTGATACAAATGATTCTTTTCTTGAAGAGGTTTAGATCACAAACCCTTTACAGCCGCGCCCAGACCTGATTACAACAACGAATCCACTAACATCTCAAGAGTCACCTCACAAACCGGCCTGGCTACAGGGTGGGTGCCCTGGAGTGAGAAAACCCCCCAGAATCTGTAGGCAAAGAGGGGAGCATGTGAGGGACACAGGGCCCCAGCCACACTCCCCAATTCGCACAGCTGTCAGTCAGCTGGTTGGGAATATTATATTGGAACACTTTCATTCTTTTTTTTTTTTTGAGACAGAACCTCAAGCTGTCACCCTGGGTAGAGTGCGGTGGCATCAGAGCTCACAGCAACCTTCAACTCCTGGGCTTAAGCGATTCTCTTGCCTCAGCCTTCCAAGTAGCTGGGATTATAGGCGTGCGCCACAACACTCAGCAATTCTTTGGTTGTAGTTGTCATTGTTGTTTGGCAGGCCCAGGCTGGATTCCAACCCGCCAGCTCCGGTGCATGTGGCTGGCACCCTAGCTGCTTGAGCTATAGGTGCCGAGCCAACACTTTCATTCTTGTGAACTCTAAATTGTGAAATAAATTCAATTACAAATTTACATTTGTAATAAACTAAAAATGTTACTATGTTCTTAGTTTTTTTTTTTTTTTTTTTGAGACAGAGCCTCAAGCTGTCACCCTGGGTAGAGTGCCATGGTGTCACAGCTCAGAGCAACCTCCAACTCCTGGGCTCAAGTGATTCTCCTGCCTCCACCTCCAAAGTAGCTGGGATTATAGGTGCCCACCACAACGCCCAGCTATTTTTTGGTTGCAGCTGTCATTGTTGTTTGGTGGCTCAGGCTGGATTCTAACCTGCCAGCTCAAGGTGTATATGGCCTTAGCTGCTTGAGCCACAGGCGCCGAGCCCTATGTTCTTAGTTTTAACATAGAGATCTTAACATTGGCAACTACTGTTTTTTATCTATTCAAAAAGTATTTTGTAGTCAGCTTTGACCGAATTCAGAAGCAATGTGTGTAATATAATCTCTGCATTAGTCATGTCCTTTGCTCTCTTGTCTCTTTTTTTTTCCTTTATATTATTAGCATGGCTCACAAAGGTTATTAGTTACAGGAAAGGAATGGGGAGCAAAACCTGAGTTTATCAGAATCTTAAAGAAGTAAAAGTATTGGATAAAATTATCTTTTGAGATTATCTGCATATACCACAGTTAAACATCTTATCCTTGTCCCCTCCACCCTCTTAAGACTTTAAAAATAAGCTTTAAGAAGTATAATCTTAGAAAACACATTTTCTTTATCCTCTTCACTTTTTCTCTTCTGCCCCCCCCCTTTTTGCAGTTTTTGGCCAGGGTAAACCTGCCACCTCTGGCATATGGGGCCCAGCGCCCTACTCCTCTGAGCCACAGGCACCGCCCTCTTTTGGCCCCTTTTAAAATTGTATGTAATCCTTGCTTGATAAGGCTGGAAGATATTGAGAGAGACTCTGGGCCATCTCCCTTCCTGAGCCCCAGGGCTCTTCTGTCACTCTGTCACTCAGCCCAGAGGTGTGTTCACAGGGTGCAGACACAGGTGTCTCTTGCAGTTACCCAGGGACCTAATGGTTAGGCCTGTGTCTCCAAGTGGCAGTCTGATGTATTCTACATTCTCTTGGAGAAAGGATTTCATAGTTCTCAAGGTTGAAGCATTTACATAAACCAGGTAAAATTACCTTTCCCCTCTCTTATTTAGCCCCAAAATATAGCACAGAAAAAGAGATGTCCCAAAATACAGGCCATAAACTCAGGGCAGCGTTAGGCTAGAATCCCTGAGTTTTCTTGAGCAACTTTCAGCCACCTAGGAGTAGGGAAAGTCAGCTCAGAGCTGGGGCACTCTGCCTACACCCTGTGCACAAGTCACCTGGGCATCTTGTTCAAATGCAGATTCTGATCCGCTGGATCTGAATCTCAGGGCTGGGGTGGGACCTGAGATTCTGCTTTCTAACCAGCTCACTGGTACTGCAATGCTGCCCACCCAGGCACATGCTTTGCATAGTGAGGAAGCAGAGCACTCTGAGCATGTAGCAAATACATCCCTGAAAGAATGAGCCCTGACGTCCACACTGGATTAGAAGGTTAGGGAGCCAAAGTGGGGACAGCGATAAACAGTCAAGGCAAGATGGGGAGGAGGTGGGAAAGGCAGGAGGCTATGAGCCAGTGCCCCGTGGGCCTCCCTGGTAGGTGGCTGACTCGTGTGGCAGAGCAACGGCAGAGGTTCTGTGCAGTCCCCACACAGACTCCCAATCAGGTCCTGCCATATCACTGCTCAGATTGTTCACCTCCTGCCAACTAGTTATCTGAGAAATATTTAATTTACTCATTCAACAAACATTCATTTACACATACTCCCTTAGGGACCTCAACTATTCACATGACTTTTTTTTTTTTTTGAGACAGAATCTCACTCTGTCACCCTAGGTAGAGTGCCAAGGCATCATAGCTCACAACAACCTGAAACTCTTGGGCTCAAGCAATCCTCTTGCTTCAGCCTCCCAAACAGCTGGGACTACAGGTCCAGCTACAGGCCCACCACAAGTCATGGCTAGTTTTTCTATTTTTAGTAGAGAAGGGGTCTTGCTCTTGCTCACACTGGTCTTAAATTCCTGAGCTCAATGATCCACCTGCCTTGGCCTCTCATAGTGCTGGGATTACAGGCGTGAGCCACTGTACCTGGCCCTATTCACATGACTCTAAATGCCAGCTCTGCAGTAGGGACTCAGCTTCATCTCTTTAGCACAGATCTTCCTTATTCTACTTTTCTCCACAACATCTTTACCTGGATGTCCAAGATATCTCAGATTCAATATGTCCAAATGGACTTCCTGGACACCTTCACAAAACTTACACTATCTCATCTCTGTTGATGGAAACTCTTGTCTTTCCATTTGTACAGGCTGAAAATGTTGGGCAGACCCCCAGTTCTTCCTCACATCCAATCCATCAGCAGATCCTACTGGCTCAACCTCCAAAGAACCCCGAGAAGCTGCTCGCTCCACCTGCCCTGCCATCACCAGGTCTCAGACAGCACCAGGGGTCACCAAGATTATTGCAATATAGGCTTGCCTGCTTTTGCCTAGAACCCACCTCCCCACCAGTCCCTTAGCAAGCAGAGTGAATGCCATGATCTGATCCCCCTGCTGTCTTGACTTCTTCCCTGCTACACTCCTCTAGCTCACTCCAACCCAGCCCACTGGGCTCCACACGGCCACCCTACCAGAAGCCTGTGCTATTTCCTCTACCTAGAAGGTTCTTCCATGTGTTAATCACCTGGCTCATTCCCTCACATCCTTTGAGATTTTGCTCAAATGTAACCTTCCCCGTGGAGCTGTGACCACCTGCTTAAATATGCAAACTGCCTTCTTCCTCCACCAACCCCCATTTCCCCATCTCTGCTCTCCCAACATAAAATCGACCTATTAGATTTGCTAATTGTCGGTCTCTTGCACTAAAATGTAAGTTGCAGAAGGGCAGAGTTGTGTATTTTGTTGGTTTACTAAGCTCACTGATGTAACCCAAGTGCTCAGAAGAGCACCTGCCCTGCTGAAAGAGGAGTGAGCGTCCTGCATGTGCCCAGCTCTGTGCCAGTTCCCAGTTCACTGAGATGAACAAGACACACTTGGCCTCTGCCCCTGGGGAGCCTGCATTCCCATGGATGGACGCAGACCATCCACCAAAAATCATCAGACTGTGACAGTGTTGTCAGGAGACAGGTGCTGGGACAATGACACTGGGGCGTTAGGGAAGACTCTTCTCGGGAGGTAACACTTCACAACAAGACTTGGGTAAAAGAGCTTATTTGTCTTCTACTTACATGTCATATATCATTTATGGTATAATCATAGAAGCAAAGATTTAAAAAGCATTTTCATAGTACTCAGGAAGTTGAGAGTTGTTCTGGACAGGTAGGTAGCATGTGCTGAGGGCAGGGATACAAAGGACAAATTTAGCAAATGGGGCAGAATGCTGGACTAGAGGTTGTAGAATGCAAAACAGCTTCACATAGTTGGCAACGAACCATGTCTGGGACTGACCCCACCCATCCCACAGCGTCTATCACAGTGAAGGGATTGATTCTTGGTAAACATTTCATTTTTGATTTTCAAATGAAAGATAAATTATATTTCCTCAGTGATTACAATTAGAATTTCAAGAGACAATAATGCCCAACTGTACTTTTTTTTTATTAAAACAATGACTCACTTGTTGTGTAATGAGATTTAATTTTGCTGGTACTGGCAAAAATCTTCCTACTAAAGTAGTCATTGGTTTTGAGACATCTGTAAGGAAGACAATTAAAAGTAATAGCATGTATTGTTCCTTTTCCACTTCTACATGGAAGCAAACACAAAAATACAAATGTATCATGGATTTATCATGTGCAAAGTTTATTTATCTCAATCCTGGCTGTTACAAAACCTTTCCGGTCAGTGTTATTATTATTATTTTTTTAATCATAAAGCTACTTGACCTGAGCTTCCAGGGACAGTCTACTACGCTAAAAATGTATTCATTTCCAGGTTCCCAAATTGTGGCAAGGTACCCTGGGGTGCCACAGAAAACTTGCTCATTTTTTTTAGAGATAGGTCAGGTCTTGCTACGTTTCTCAGACTGGCCTTGAACTCCTGAGCTCAACCCATCCTCCACCTCAGCCTTCTGAGCAGCTGGACTACAGGCCTGCACACAATGTCTGGCTTCTTCTATCAGGGGTGTCCGACCTGCAGCTTGAGTGCTACATACATTATATGAGGCCTGTTTTGCTTATTTGTGGTGCTAGATGTCACAAAAATTACGCACAAACTTTTTTTTGTTTTTTGCTCAACAGCTTTTGTTAGTATTTGTGAACTTAATGTGTGGCCCGTGATTACTCTTCTTCCAATATGCAGCAGGAAAAAGAAAAGGTTGGACACCCCGTAGGTATTTTATATTTTCAAAGAAAGCCCAACGACATCAGTTGGACACCATTTGAACTACTTTCAATTAACAGGTTTTCTTTTTTCTCAATGGTTACTAAGTTAGGATATAAATACTTATTAAGTTATTTGGATCAAACTACTTAATGTTGGAACTGACAGGTATTTCTTTGGCCTAAGAACACCATCAGAAGCATTCTTTTTTTTTTTTGAGACAGAGTCTTACTATGTCACCATCAGTAGAGTGCCATGTCATCACAGCTCACAACTTCAAACTCTTGGGCTTAAGTGATTCTCTTGCCTTAGCCTTCCAAGTAGCTAGGACTACAGAGGTGCCCACCACAATGCCTGGCTATTTTTTGTTGCAGTTGCCATTATTGTTTAGCGGCCTGGGCTGGGTTCGAATCTGCCGGGTCTTGGGGTATGTGGCTGACGCCATAACCACTGTGCTACAGCTGCTGAGCCTTTTTTTTTTTGAGACAGAGTTTCACTTTGTCACTCGAGTAGAGTGCCATGGCATCCTAGCTCACAGCAACTTCAAACTCTTGGGCTCAAGAGCTCCTCTTGACTCAGCCTCCTGAGTAGCTGGGACTATAGGCACCTACCACACCTGCCACAGTACCCAGCTACTTTTACTAATTTTTTTTTTTTTTAAGACAGAGTCTCATTATGTCACCCTCAGTAGAGTGCCATGGTGTCATAGCTCACAGCAACCTCAAACTTTTGGGCTCAAGCAATTCTCTTTCCTCAGCCTCCCAGGTAGGTGGGACTACAGGCACCTGCCACAATGCCTGGCTATTTTTTGGTTGTAGTTATCATTGTTGTTTGGCAGGCTCTGGCTGGGTTCAAACGTGCCAGCTCCAATGTATGTGGTTGGTGCCCCAGCCACTAAGCTATAGGCTCTGAGCCAGTTTTCCTAATTTTAGTAGAGATGGGATCTGGCTCTCCCTCAGGCTGGTCTCAAACTCCTGAGCTCAAGCAATCCACCCACCTTGGCCTTCCAGAGTACTAGGATTACAGGTGTGAACCACCACACCCAGCCCATCAAAAGGGTACGCCAGCCCAGTACCCTTCACTAAGGGTACTGTGAACCTCCATGCTCAGGAGTCTAAACAGAAAGAGAAATGCATCCTACTTCTCTGAAGCATGTGCCAGGCTGCACACACTTCCTTCTCTAGTTTAGGCATCCTTTGAGTGAGGAAATCTAGCCTCAGGCAGCATAATGCATTTTTGTTGGTGGTGTTTACTATGTACACAGCATACAAAGGAGACCAGTGCTATGCTTATGTGATAAGGAAACTGAATTAGAAAGATCCTCTGCAGATCTTAAGTCATTAGGACTCTTGTGTGTCAGGAGAAAGCAAAGTAGATCACATATGCAACACCTACCTACAGGGAACCAAACTAGAAAATCTGTAGCTAATCTGTAGCAAAGAGCTTCTTGAGGTCAAAGCCCCAACTCCAGCTTCTTCAATGAAAAAAGTAAATGTAAATGTTAAACTGAAGATGTTTTCTCTGTCCAGGGATATAAGACACTGTCAGGACAAAGTAGGAATCACACTTTGTCTTTTTGCCCTGGACTCCAAAGGCCAGTGAAACTACATTTGGATACAATATTGGTTTAAAATTATTGGCAAAGAAAGTGAGTCATCTGACAATGTAATATTCTGGCTAACTCAAGATCGAGTGATGTGATCATGTCTAGTCTACACAGAGATGCCCACTTTTCAAAAATTAGCATCTAGGATGGGCGAGGGGGCTCACGCCTATAATCCCAGGACTCTGGGAGGCTAAGGCGGGTGGATTGCCTGAGCTCAGGAGTTCAAGACCAGCCTGAGCCAGAGTGAGACCCTGTCTCTAAAAAAAAAAAATAGCCGGGCGTTGTGGTGAGTGTCTGTAGTACCAGCTACCTGGGAGGCTGAAGCAAGAGACTCACTTGAGCCCAAGAGTTGGAGGTTGCTATGAGCTGTGATGCATGGCACTCTACCGAGGGCAACAAACAGAGACTCTTGTCTCAAAAAAAAGAGAGGTGTTTACATTAAAACATAGATCACTGACAGCACACTTGAACAGTCCCCCCACCAAGCCAATCTGAGAAAGGTTTCAATCTAGAGACAGCTCAGCTCACCCACTTGTGGGATTATTAACAAAGCAGTGTTAGTGGGGACCACAAAGCTTTCTGTAGCCAGGTCATGTGAAGGCGAGCTATCTAAGAATCTGAGACAGTCCATACAAGACATACAAATTAGTTTATAAAGATAAATTTTGTTCTATTCTTAGCGCACTCATATGAACTAAGAGGTCTACCAAACTGCCCATTAGATAACCTAACTGGTTACTTTTTTTTTGAGACAGAGTTTCACTATGTTGCCCTTGGTAGAGTGCTATGGTATCATAGCTCACAGCAACCTCAAACTCTTGGGCTTAAGTGACTCTCTGCTTCAGTCTCCTAAGCAGCTGGGACACAGGCACCTGCCACAACACTTGGCTATTTTTTTTGTTATTGTTGTTGTTGTCTGGCAGGCCCAGATCAGGTTCAAACCCAGCAGCCCTGGTGTATGCAGCTGGTGCCCTAACCACTGAGCACATGCACTGAGCCTGGCTGCTTCATTTTTATTCAATGTACAAAGCCATACATACTTACTAATTACTTATGATGTATGATACGATTTTTTAAATTATTTTGTACCTGACTGTAGATAATTATTTTGGTTTTGATACTGAGGAACCAAATGAAGTGCTTTTAGTTCTCTCGTGCCAGAGTTGTCTATACACAGCATCTGTGTACCCCCTTTCAACTGACATATCACCTAGAATGAAAAACAGTGATCAGATTTCAGTTTTAAAAAATAACTCCAATAATATGAACCTAAATAAACTCACATCTGATAAAACAACTTTAACCTCCAAATAGATCTGTTTTCTATTTCTTACTCTATAATAATGTGCTCTCTGGAGGTGCCAAGGGGCAAAAAACTTCCCAGAAATTCTTCCTGAGATGTATTCAAGGTGAACTTCCTGCACATGTCTTTCTCCACAGGGTCTGACCACCGAGATTTAGTTTAGGGTCAGGTGACTATATGCCAGCACTTCCTTTGGCCTGCCCTTACTCCAGTTTAACAGACCTGATTAACACTTAGAAAGGCTGTGCCCCTACTCCCTCTCTGTAACTGAGCACATACTTAGAATGGCCTAATTTTACTTAGTAATTCTTTCCTGCCACACACACATTAAGATGTGGGATTTTTTTTTTTTTTTTTTGAGACAGAGCCTCAAGCTGTTGCCCTGGGTAACATCACAGTTCACAGCAACCTCCAACTCCTGGGCTCAAGGGAGTCTCCTGCCTCAGCCTCCCAAGTAGCTGGGACCACAGGCACCCACACACTGCCCAGCTATTTTTTGGTTGGAGCTGTCATTGCTGTTTGGTGGGCCCAGGCTGGATTTGAATCCGCCACCTTAGGTGTATGTGGCTGGCACCTTAGCCACTTGAGCCACAAGTGTCGAGCCAAGATGTGGGATTTTTAAAATGTACGTTTACTTCTGTGTACCCTCAGTGAATCCCCAACAATTAAAAAAAAAAGTGTACGATTACTTTATTTGCTGTAAGTCCAGCTTCGAAAGGTTAATCCCAGAATTGTGTTGCCCAGGCTGGAGGGTAGTGTGCAATTATAGTTCACTATTGCCTCAAACTCACGGCCTTAAAAATCCTTCCACCTCAGCCTCTGAGTAGCTGAGACTACTAGATACACACCAGATCTAGCTGATTTTTAAAATTTTCTGTAGAGATGGGGGCTCACTATGGTGCGTAGGCTGGTATCAAACTCCTGGATTTAAGCAATCTTTCCACCTTAGCCTCCCAAAGTGCTAGGATTTCAGGTGTGACCCACTGCACCCAGGCACCCATTTGGATTCTGAGTCTAAGTAAAGCCTCAGTGAGCCAGGTGAATCCACCAATAAAACCAAAGCACTGATGGGGCTCACTGTGTGCCTAGCTCTGTTCTAGGCTACACGTCATGGATACAAAGGCAAAAGCCATGATTTATTTCTGCCTGCACAGCTACCAGTTTCAAAGGCAGAACCGCAACTACACAGAAGCTGTGGTTTCTATGCTTATGTTGCTTAATCCAGATAGGAAAAAACCAAATTAGAATAAAGGACCAGTGTTGTCGAAATAACACACCAGAACCTACTATGGCAGCGAAGAGCAAATCACTGGATCAAAACTTACATCACCTGTTAAGAAGCCAGCATTGGTGCTCAGCTGGAATTGTATTCGAATGTGGAAGATAACAGTTACAGCTACACACACACACTCAAAAAAAAAAAAAAAAAAAAATGGGGAAAAGACTCAGAGTGGACTTTCCAAGCCTCTATCCGTTGCACACTCTTGGACCCGACCCACACAGGAGCCTCTGTCCTGCCTTCTGGGGAGTGTGCTAATAGCACTCTGTAGTCTAGGGGAATCAGAGACTTCCCCGCTGACCCACTTTGGGGACCCTAGAAAAGCTCTGCTCTCCGAACCCAAGACCCCAAATAGGACTAGCAACAGAGGCGAGTAATGGTATATGCTGCAGCTAAGCCAAAATTTGTGATGAGCTCATTTTCAAGTATTTTCTTGTTAAAGTCTATGCCTTAGAGCTAGGACCTCAATTCCAAGTATAAAGAATTGCCAGGTGAAGGGCAAGCATCGGTTCTTTGGTCCCTAAGTGCTTTGCTAAGGGAATGTAGGGGTGAGGTTCCCTGGCTCCCCATTCCTAGTCCTCACCACAGTGAGACTGTGGAGTCTAGATGCACCACCTGGGAGGACAAACGTAGACGACATAACTTCTGTTTTCTTATCCACAAAAGGGATAAAATAAAAGTAATGCCTACCCTACAGAGTTGTTAGGATTAAATGAAATAATCAAGGTGAAAAAATGTTACATAAACCATAGATGTGACTGATGACATCCTATGTGTTAGTTGTTATCTTTAGAAACCAGAAGACATTAAGAAAGGCAGCAGCCTCTGCCCTAAAGCCACAGAGCTTCAGCCCACCCTCCACCGATACCCCAACGCAGGCTCAGCCAGTCCCCACCGCAGTGCCCAGTCCCTAACTCAGGATAGACTGATGTGACTCGTGCTTACTTTCCTTAAATACAGCAACATCCTAATCTTTGTTAGGTTTGCTAAGATTGACAGAAATGAGAATCTTAGATGTGAAGTGTGAAAGACTCTAGCTGATGTCCTTTTCTTTGATGGATGAGACAAGTCAAAATGCTATTTCAACAAGTAAAGAGAACAAAAAACAAGGACTGAAATAATCTATGAACAGAGATAGCAAGGGTGCAATATTTAATATGTTAATCATACATAGTTTCTTTGGCATAATTACCATTGGGTTCAAGTCTTTCTTGTAAGAACAGCCAGAGGCGTCCTCTGGTTCTTGGGACGATGGGAACTTGCAGCACGATTCCTGAGCAAGAGGATTCTGAAGAGTTGTCTCCTCTGGATTGTTACTTGTCAGAGTCCCGCCTGCTTCCTTTAGTTCAACCTAAGAAAAGCAATCGTCATTTTAGGGAACACATGGTAGACACTTGCTCTCGGAACTGCATAATACAGAAAATTTAAAGCTGAGCTCCATGTGAAGTTACATTTTAAAAGAAGAAGCACCCTCATTCTTAACGCCTCTCTTCCACACTGGTGCTTCTAAAACTATTACTCTATGAGGCAACAAGAAGGGATGACAAATGGTCTGACCAGACTCCCTGGGGATTGAGGACTCTACAGACAAAAACCATTTGTCTATGAGGCGTGGATAAGTGATTTCGTTGTTTGCGCTATTTCAAAAATACAGTCTGTGGGCGGCACCCTTAAGTCAGTGGGTAGGGCCTGGCCACATACACGGAGGCTGGCAGGTTCAAACCCCACCCAGGCCAGCTAAAACAACAATAACAACTGCAATCAAAAAATAGCTGGGCATTGTGGTGGGAGCCTGTAGTCCCAGCTACTTGGGAGGCTGAAGCAAGAGAATCGCTTAAGCCCAAGAGCTGGAGGTTGCTGTGAGCTGTGACACCAAGGCACACTACTAAGGGTAACAGCTTGAGACCGTCTCAAAAAAAGTTTTTTTTTTTTCCCCTAAAATATGGTCTGCAGAACCGAGAAGAGTCCCCAGTTGGTCAAGGGCCTCTCTTGCTGCTTAACAGCCCCCTATGCTAAGGGGCTTCCCTTAAAATGGCCTGAAACGTGCCCCTTCACATGTTTTTCTTTTTCTTTTTTTTTTTTTTTTGAGATGGAGCCTCAAGCTATCCCCCTGAGAAGAG